TGAATTATAGTAACGTGTTATTAATATTCATTACGTGGATTCGACAAACAAAATAAGTTTATGAATTGCAAAAGGTTGTTTGTAAGTTGTAATTTGGGCGTAGCAATTAGTAGGAATAGTATGTTTCAATTAGTAGGACTATATGCCTAATTAACAAATTGCGTTTTCAATAATGCTAAAAAGAACAAACCACTATTTGTCTATTTTTGGCTGAAACCATTTGCCAAACTCGCACTTTGTCTCGTCTGTCCCTGATTAAGTTTGACTTGTATATAAAATAATAAAGTGAAAACTGTATAATTAAAAATTGTCCATAGGAGAGAAGTAATTTTAACTAGATTGGGGGTGTTTGGCAAAAGACGTTTCAGCTGAAAAAAGACGGTTTGACTACTTTTAGCATTTTCAATAAGTGAAAAAGTTATTTGGTATATAGCTCTTCGGCATCAGCGTTATGTACAGAAATGCTGCTAATAAGAGAGTTCTGGATTGACATTTTGAAAAATGCATTTTCTACTAATTTTATGGTCAAACAACTAATTTATCAAACATCTTCTAACATCCCGCCAATTTATTCCGCTAGTCAAATCCGCCGACAGATTTCGCTATTGACAACCCGCTAACATAATCCACTATCTGCCAATAGGGGTGGGCTCGGGCCGGTTCGGGCCCGGTTCAGGCCTGGCCTGGCCGGACCTCGGTTCATTAAAGGGGAGGCCCGGAACCGGCCCGGGTCCGGGTCGGGCCGGGCCAGGCCTTGATTCAATTTATATTTTTTTTTGACTTTTCCTAATTAACCCCCAACCCTCACCCCCAAACCACCTCAAATGGCCCAAAATACCCAGCCAACCCAAAAACTTAAAAAAAAAATAAAAAAAAAAGGAAAATAAATAAATTGGCCTAGACCGGGCCCGAACCGGCCGGGCCGGTTCACCTTTTGAAGAGCCCGGCCCGGAACCCCAGCGGGTCGGGCCTACCCGGACCGGTCCCTGGCCGGGCCGGCGGTTCGGGCCGGTTCTGGGGCGGGCCGCCCGGCCCGAGTTCACTCTTATCTGCCAACCCTCAACCGCTGAATGCCAAACACGCTCATTGTTGGAAAATATTTCATTTAAGTGTCCTTGGACCATATACATAATTATATATATATACACACACACACACACACTGACAAATCTTCACATCCAACCGGCTTGATGGGAACCGCTATCCAGCCGAGCCCGTTTGAGACTCTTTCCGGTGAGATTTTTTGATGAAATTTGTTGAACATGTTCTTTATCAAGTCTAATTTACCCCTGCCAAATTCCAGCTAATAATTCAATCGAATAGGGAGTCAAATGATTTTTCGAAAAATATTGCAATGTTTATACATGGTATATATTAGAGAGATTTAACTAAATAAGACTAAAACAAGGTAGAATTGCAAAAATAGGACTACTATGTTTTATTTAACAAAAATAGGACTAAAGATAGGTAATCTGACAAAACTACCCTTAATTAAATAACCGATGCACACCAGCGACGCACGACATCCTCCATTGCGACGCACGACACCAGCGCTGGGATCCATCCTCCCATGGACTGGCAAAATTGAATCTCCATAGCTGCACTCATCACCCACGCTGCAATCTCCATAGCTGCACTCATCACCCATGCTGGAACCTCCATGGCCGCAATGCTCTGTTCACGCAGGAAAACTTCCATAGCAGGGCATCTCTCCTGCAATTTTCCAGGTAATCTCCTTCTCATTCTTCTTCTTCTTCTTCTTCCTTCTTTCTCCTCCTCCTCCTCTTCCTCATCTTCTTTCTCTTGTTCTTCTTCCTGGGCCTCTTTTTTCTGGTTTTCTATTTTCTTCTAATTTGTGAACTTTTAAGATTCTAGATTAATCTATTAATTTTGATTATTTTCAAAAATGCCACTTTTATTATATGAGAATGTCAAAATTATTGGTTATTTGAAGAAAAAATGTCACGTTTTTGGCAGTATATTTATCAGGATGTCAATCTAAAAATGTCTGAAAATGTCATATGTCCATAAGGAAATGTCATTCTTATAGCATTTTATGGCATTCTCGCATATCAGGTGGCATTCCTCATGGAGGTTTGCACAGAGTCACTGGAGGGAAGATACTTTGTCACTTTCATGACATTTTCGAAAGAAAAGTGACATTTTCAGATTGACATCCTAATAAATACAATGTCACAAACGTGACATTTTTTTCTTCAAATAACCAATAATTTTGACATTCTCATATTATACCAGAGACATTTTACTGAATAAATACAATCAAATCCAAAAAATTCAAATTAATAAGTAAAATTCAATTGCATGAAATCCAAAGAAGAAGAGAATAGAGGGCCAGAAATTTGAGGAGGATTAGAAAGAAGAAGAGGAGGAGGAAGAGGAAGAGGAAGAGGAAGAGGAAGACTTACCTAGTTGCAGATGAGTGCAAGACGAAGGAACAGTGACGCGAGGCCATGGAGCAGTAGTCCATGGGAGGCGGGAGATGTGCTGCGATGAATTGCAGAGCCGGCGACGGGAGTACTGGTGCGATGAATTGCAGGGGTAGACTTGTAGGCTTAATTGATTCAGGGGCAAAAGGGTAAACTTTAGTCCTATTTAGAGAATAATAAACTTAAAGTCCTATTGTGGAGTTTATACAATGTTTTAGTCTCATTTAGGATAAATACTTTATATATTAACTGCACAGTGTTCTTAAATAATTTATTTGACTTTTTTGCCGACTAAACTAGGCTTGACGAAAAACATGCTCAAAAAATTCCACCGGGAAAAGTCAAAAATGCGCTCGGCTGGACGGTGTTTCCCATCAGGACATGAAGTCATGAATAAGACTATATATAGTAAACATGTAAATTTTGCTGTAATAGTACCTCTATTGTTCCGGTGGCAAGGACAACACGGACGCACACCAAGATGAATGCTACATGGCTTTGAAGTGTAAAACAAATTGAAGATGCAGTTTTTGTTTTTAAGTTTTTTATCATGCACAGTGCGCTTATGTGCAATTCAAGATTCGACTAAGAAAATGTGATGGGCTCAATGGAGTATTCGACAGATGGTATAAAATTAACAGAAGCAGTAAGACTGTACGGTTTCTTATCAGGACATCAGGACAGGCTTGGACCCGGTTCGGGCCACCCGGCCCGGTACTGTGCGGGCCCAGCCTAGCCCGGGAACCGGGTACCGGTTCCGGGTCTAGGCCCGATTTAGGGGGGTAACCTGGGCGGGTACGGATCTGGGATGTATGGAACCGGCCCAGCCGGTTCCAGGCCCGGTTCGGGCTTTATTCTTTATTCTTTTTTTTTTTTTAACTTTCCGAATTGGACTGGGTATTTTGGGTCATTTGGGCTGGTTTGGGGGTTGGGGGGGTAATTAGAAAAAGGGGAGTTCTATTCACAGCCCCAAAATTCCTAAATACAGCCACATAATTAAATTTAAGTAAATAAAATAATTTCAAAAATCAATTTTACCCTTACAGGCTTACACAAGTATTCTACGATCAATTGCCTGTGCAGATGCTTTCTAATATTCTAGCAGTATATCCTCAATCGAAAAATGAGCTCGGCTTAAGTCGACAAGGGCGAGATTGGGTGAGTTTAAAGGGGCATCATTGGGATCTAAGATCGATTGGCTTTTGCAAATGCTTTCAAATACTCTACCAGTATATTCCATTCATTGTATAATTGAATAAGCACATAAAACCATTATTTTGATGATAAATTAAAAATGTTGGAATGATTAATACAAAGTATCTCTTAATAGAGAGAAGCAAGATGCTTTCATAGGCAACATTTAATTTGTTATAGCTTTTGTTGTTCTTCAATATTTCGATATCCAAATGACCAGATTGGTGGAGCGTGAGCATCAAAAGGCAGAGTCCGATTTACCATAAATGGTCCAACGTCTAATGATGAATGTAAAGTCTGATACGGTGTATCAGATATGCTCAAAAAGCTTCACGCCTTCACCTGTGCGGGTAGATTTTACCTCTCATCCTTCTCGTATGTTGATAGAGATATCAGTATGGAATGATGGATGGCGATTCGCAAGGGCAAAATAGAAATAAAAAGTATTTTTTTAATTAAAATTATATTGGATGAGCAAATTAAAAACTATTGAATAGAAATTAAAAAGTATTGAATGATGGATGGCCTTAAGTAAACAACTGCAATTAAAAACTATAAAAGAGCAAATTAAATTAAAGAATTATAATAAAAACATTTATCGTAAAAAATGAATAAATATTACGTGAGCCACTATTTTAGAAGAAATTAAGGAAATTAGTTGTGGTTTGTTAGAGTGGTATTATCCAGCATATCTAGCAAATGTTGAGTGATATTATGTCATAGCTATTCTATAAAAAAATACAACTATTCCTAGTGGATTTGGAAGGTCTGCCATGAGTATTATTATCGAGCTCACATAATATTATCGAGCCACTATTATATGAGTATCACCATATTCTTTCAAAAAAAATATGAGTATCATGGCCAGACCTTGAATGGCCACTCTGGCTGATACGTGAGATAAACTTTTGTATTTCGTATTACGCTTCGTATTACGTTAATAGGTTAGTTTTATCCAAGGAAAACCATAAAAAGTTGAACTGCTCTAACCTAGAGAAGCTTCGATCGAACTGATGAAGAAGGGAAGTCAGAAGTGTGCGCTAGGTTGGAAGACGGAGAAACATGGCGTGCTAGATTTTTTAAATAATAGGTTGGATTGAGTTATACATTTTTTGGCCTAAACGTCCATCACTCCATCAAAGTCTTTCAAAGTTCATTAAAATCAATAATAAGTAAAATTGATGGAGTGATTGAGGATACCTCGATTTTATTAGATTATATGGAGGCCCGAGGCCTGGCCCGAACCCGCTGGCAACCCGGGCCAATCCCGGGCCTTCCCCCAACCACAATAGGCCCGACCCGGCTCCATGCCTACATCAGGTACATATTAATTTTCTGCAACGGGTAGGATTTGTAGGATTTCTAGAATTTATAGACCTATTTGCGGAACATGCAGGCATCTTACTTGGTGACATCCATACTCTACTTTGTTGCATCATACAGATTACAGAGTAATAATAATAATATAATAATAACAACACTAGCAATGATGATAGTAATAATATGTGAAATATCAAGTGCGAATGAGAATAAAAGGTGTAAACAACGACCGTAGCTGTTAATAAGATAGAGGTATATGCGATATAAAAAGCTTCATGCAGCGGAGATGACGAGATTGTTGTGTCTACGAATTCTCTGTTTGTTTATTTCCACATTGAGTGCATGTGTAGAAGATAGTTTGGCCTTCATCAGCAGACCTTATCTGCATAAAGGAGAAAACCCAAAAATATACTGTATCAGTTTAGATGGAAAGGGCACATCCGCACATGTACTCAAACAAAAGAAAAAACAAGTGATTGTAATGAGATATGGAATATATTGGGTAACAATAGTGAATTCTAGGCAACCTGTCTAGCAACATATGCCATCCCCATATATTGACACACTTTGCATTTTGCATTATAATCCTGTAAAGCCAATAATGATTGTTATATAAAAGAACAACCCTTGAATAAAGATAGAAATAAACCGTCTAATCAAAATTCAAAAATTATTATGTATTCCAGTAGGCTTACCATCTGTTTCAATTCCTTCTCTTCTTCAAAATCATCAAATGAAGAAGATACGCCGAACTCCCTTCTAATAGCCTATGAAAGTTAGAGAATGCCATAAAAAGCTTGTTCAGCCACCGATAATTTAATTCAAACAAAGAATGGCAAATTACTTTGTTACATTTCATCCGATGGATTGCAGTATACTTTGTACCGAGTATTGAATAAGAAGACCATAACAGGCCTCTCAAATGATTGGTTATAGTACGAGATGGAGGCATACCTCTGCAGAAATTGTATACCGTATCTCTTTTCCAATGATATCTAGAATGGGGAAAAAGAAAAAGCTAATACTTTGTCCATATTAAACAAAACAAAGGACATATGTAAGCAGGTTGAATTCATTTTTGAAAAAGAGAGAGGTGAACTAATGAGTTTTGGTTAAATGAAATGCTGCTTTATTTTGAATCCCAGATTTAACCAATCAAAAAAGTTCTAGACGTTCTAACAACAAATTATGTCCATCAGGAATATAAAAAATGACCAAACTTGTGTGCGAAAGTCTCACAAACAGAAGGGAAATTTAATATTCTGTGCTTGAGAAGTAAAAGCTAAAAAGTAAGGAGTTATACATTTTATAAAAATAACTGTTTTTTTTAAGCATTACTCCGTACTCTTTACTTTTAAAGTATAACACGTGACCCGTCTCACAAGATCCCAACTGGCCAACGAAAACAATAAGTTTTGATAAATATGCTTTTGATTCAATTATCCATTGGAAACTTAAAACAGATTACTGTCAACCATCAATATACCCTTTCAGAAAACAAAACCGTAGAGCTCCTTGACTAGGAGAAAAGCAAACACAAATCACTAGCACTTACTATCAACATCAATAGTAACAAAGTAACAAGCACCAAAACAGGTAAAACTGTAAAAAGTAAGCCCGTGTATAAAATAGTGTCAACTTTCAATTATAAATTGCCCCATCAGATTTTGATATGGGCATGTCTAACTGCCAATCCTGTTTGTAATTGGGTTAGGGATACCTATGGATTATTTATCTATTATTATTATTAGTACTTCCTTACCAATAAGTAATAATATTTGAATTACTTTCCTATTAGTAGTGTATTATAGTATGCTCTATTTTAGTTAAATTTCCTTTAAGAATGTACTCCCTCTGTCCCACTTTGTTTGGGACATGGGTTGTCACACACAAATTAAGGAAAACTAGGTTGTGGGGTTCGTGTTTAAAATGTAGTGTGACAGATTTAAAACACATAGATATCATCGAATATGGAATGTGACAAATGCTTTGGGAGGGAACAATATGGAAAAACGTGACAAACATGTGAGGACAATACTTACTTGCTCACCAAAATTTGTGAGTAGTATAAATAGGGGTTCTAACGTTGTTAATAGTTTCTTATTACTCAGAGTGTTAAACATCAGGTTTAATATGGTGAAGTCTCTAGGGTTTCTGTCCTGTAGGCTCTCTCCGGGAGGATTTGTCCTATTCAGGTGTGTTTAGCAAGGAAATGCAAGTTGGAAATCTAATCTATTTTAGCACCATAATCCATGACATACACAAAGTGATTAAAAATTATATGCAGATAGCTGAAAACAAATAACTTAATGATTAATATAAACATATAGTGGATACAATTCATCTATCAGGTATGTTAAAGTATATAAGCTGATAAGAGAAGTTGCAAACTTTTATGAAATGTGTAACACCAAAAACTAAAAAGATCAAGTAGAGTGAAAGGAAAAAAGTAAATAAGAACTAAACATGGTTTAAAAGGGCATACAGGGTAGGTTTCAAGGCACACCTCACAATGTGAGGCATACAAAGAAGGTTTCAACGTTAGTTTCTTTTTCTTTTTCAAAAGGTTTACGACTTTACGCCTCAAAAGTCAAGGCGTACACTCTTTGAGGCATTTTCTGAGGTGGTTTTCCTTTGTTTCTATCATTTTAAGGTGATTGTAACTTAAAAAGGCCCAGTGTTTTTTATTTAATAAAAGGCCCATACATTAAACATGTGTCCACAGTCCACACTAAACCCTAACTAGCCTTTTTAACCTTCGAACTAACCTTTCATGTTAACCCTGTTTTTGCAAGCTGGGCAATGTGCATACTTGATTGAATCCAAGGAGAGGAAAGCTCCACACATACAGAACATGAAATCGCGTTGACGAGAATAAAATGACATTGCTGGCATTAAACAGTCAAGACAGATTAGAGATAATGTAAAATTACCAGTTTTATGTGGATTTCATCCACATGCGAATTTGCATGCTATAAAGTAGAAACTATATCATGAGCTAGCACACATCATCGTTGTCATGTCTAAAACCAACCAAAGTCTCATAAGTCTTTACAAAACAAGTCTCATAAGTCTTAACAGAACAAGGCTTCTTGAACACAAGCATTTCAATCCAGTGGGGTCAACATTTAATATAAAAACAACTTTAATTGCAACAAATGAGTAAAATACAAAAATATATATCACTAATAGTTTACATGAGTAAGAGTTTTTGTTAAAGAAATACAAAAACCACATCACAAATTTACAATTCTTCTTTAATGAGTGTCATAGACTGATATGGCTTGATATTGACATCATTGGAATTTTTCAAGAAGATGTCTGTTTTCTTCACTAGGTTGAAAGTATCTGTGAAAACCTATCTTTGTTAGCTTTTTCAATTTTACAACATTTCACCACATCATATGATTGATAACTTAGATAATACCTAACAGAGTCCTCACGAATATATTTAAAACAGTACAATGAAATTAAATTAATACTAACAACAAATAATGGAAATATATGAGACAAATAATAAACAGTGAGAATGATAATCACAAATCACATTACTACAAATGTAATTAATACCCACAAATCACATTTATACTAAATTACTAATCAGATTATGAGATTAATAATAAACAACAGAATTAATATATGAAAATACCATCAATTAAAAATCACTAAATCTAAACGAAATATAAACCAACTACTATAATCATTCCACTAGTAAATAACCGTCAAAAAATAAAATAAAAATTCAAGTAAAAGTTAAAGGGGAATTGAAGAATACAGGTAAAACTTAAACCCAGAGACCAAAATCATTACATTACTAAATTTAAAATAGAAACTAAAACTAAACCAAAAATCAAAACTAACGGAACAATATTATATAGGTAACGTAGCAGCTAGCAGACAGTGAGGGGGGCGCCGAACTGAGGTCTGGGACCTAAAGAGTTTTAAAATTTGAAGTTTGAGACCTACTGGAGAAGGCGGGAAGCGGGAAGTGCGCGAGGCGAGGACTACGCCGTTGAAGACGATGGACGGGCGGAGCGATGGGCCGATGAGGCTGAAGTCTGAAGTCTGAAGATGATACACGACGGTGAAGTTAAGTGGCCGAGCGTTCGTTTATCGTTACTGATTAAATTTTGGGCCAGGCAAGATGCCCATATTATAAAAAAGAAATCCATTCAAAATTAATTAGGACCGAAAGTTATCCAAATTGGTCTTAATATAATGCTGTACATTCGACATTTCCTTTCTTTTGGAAAAATTGACAACAATAAATCATTTTGGCCTATATATTATTTAAAAATTATAAAAGATAAATAAATGATCTATTTTTAAAATTATAAAAAATGTGATCAAAATCACAATTAAATCTTGCAATGTAAAGTGACTCCGGTCAAAGTGAATTCGGCCACAATGACTCTACCGCCAAAGTGACCCCGCCCCGCCAATGACTGCGCCGCCATAGTGACTCCACCGTCGCCTCTCCAGTGACTGTCACCCGCCCTGATCAGTGACTACCACCGCTCGTCTTTAGTACTACGGCCGCCCCTCGTCAGTGATTGTCGATGTCTCCATCTAGTGATTGTCGTCACAAGTGCATGGTACACTACCACTAGTGCCACCAGCGTCATTGTTGTTGGCCACCACCGTCAATGACCCGTCGCCACCCTGTAGTGGTCAACCAGACACATAACCCTTGCACAAGTCATGCGGCCACCACCGTCCAACGTCGCCGGAAACCAACGGCCACCACCGCTATTTCTGGGGCTTCATCTCCGGCTTCCGACCGCCACCCGCCCCTACCTAGCCTCCCCATCCCCCTTTACATCGCCAAACCTAGCCCTATCGATTGAGATTCCCTCAATCACTGCTCCACCACCACCATTCCGAATCTGAAATGTTAAAGATGGCGATTAAGCCCCCCCCCCCCCCCCCCCCCCCCCCCCCCAAACCCAACATATTAAGAAGATTCCCTCAAACCCATTCCTTGGGTTTAGTTTTTGTTTTTTACTTCTTATTTTCTTCTCTGTACTTTTTTCCCTTTAATGGTGTGGATCCAAAAACTTACAATAGGGTGGGCTAATAAATAAAATTTGAAAACGCGTACATAATAATAAGTCAAATCGTCAACACTTCAAATATTCATCAAAATATCATTTAAGTTGTGCCCTACGCGACTTCAAAGTATAAAATTCATCAATAATATAATCTATATCTATATTATTGACAAATCTCGTTCAATGTAGTTCACGAATGAATCTTCAAGAAAATCATCTCCCATTTTGTTGTGAAGTGCCGTCTTCACCATCATAGGTATAGGTTCACAACTCTCTTTACCACTTTGACAATACACTTTCGAAAAAAATGACAAAATCAACTTCTTTTCTTTCTTGGCAATATATTCATTATCCATTCTAAAAAACATTTTCAATATTGGTAAGAATTAAAATACTTCTATAAAATTATGAAACTAATAAGAAAAAACAATCGTTGTGCATAAACCTAATAAGTGTTCCGAATTTCAAAACTCAATTCAAATTTTCAACTTTTTCTTACATAATCACACAATAAAAAGATAAATACGTAGTAAATCATTCTTTAATCTTCAATTGTATAATAAATAAATCATTCTATAATCTTTCATTCTATCTTTAATCATTATAAATTCATAATGAATTAAAAACTATTTTATTATGCACTGAAAAATTCAATTAATAATCAAATTGATTCCCTAACCCTAAAGATAATACTACCTTCGTCCCATTTATGTGTCTTAGTTTGACTTGGCACGGTTATTAATGAAGTGGTTGAAAAAGTAAAAGTTGTGGTTGAGGTTTGAGTATAATAAAGTGAAATGGTGTAGGCCACATATTTCTTTCCAAAAAAGGAAAGGAGACACTTATTTTGGGACAACCCCAGAAAGAAAGTAGGATGGATAAAATGGGACGGAGGGAGTAATACACAATCAGTGGCGGATCCAGAAAATAAAAGTGTTGGGGGCAAAGTAAGAATGAAGTACATGAATAGAAAAGATTAAATAATATTAACATGAATAGGAAAAACTTGTAATAAAGAACACGAGAACTTAGAAACTGAATAAAGTATATTGCAATATAAGTACATGAGAATTAGAGGGTGATTAGCTCTAAATCTGATACAATGGATAGATTGGTTCATGATTGTTTGTCTTGATGTAATAACTTTTTTGCTTTCTGATATTTCAATATAAGTCATTTATCATAACAAAAATACACTTCTTTCTATAAAACAAACTAGTCACTCAGAAACCGATCATTGATTCTATTAATCAAATTTTCACCCGGAACCGCACCCTAACGTGCAAATGTTTTGATTAAGATCACATGTGCAAATACAAATGATAAATGTACACAATAATATTTCTAAAATCTTCTTTACTTTTAAGTGTATGCAAGTTAATGATAAAAGTGCAGAATCTTTCAATACTAGTGCATATATAATGATACAATTAATGAGAATATATGAATGCACAATAATATAGTTAATGACAAAAATACTTTATTTTGCTATACGAGTTCACTACAAGATTAATAATATATTTGCATACTTTGGAATAAATATTTTATAATACAATTAAACTATTAGGACAATTAAAATATACAAAGGCATAAAGTATTGCTTCACACGTTTTTTTAGAATTCATATCACTGTCGTGGATAGTGGGAATCTAATTTTAGATGAATGTGATTTGTTCTTATTTCTCTCCTAAGCTACCATTCTCACTGGAACCTTACCTTATTAGCTATTTATAACTATTATTAACTTCAGGTTGTTAATTTAACTACTTACTGAAGTTACTGTCCTAGCATAGTACTCCCTTCATCCCCTTTTAAATGTCCCGGAAGATGGTGGCACGTGTTTAAAACGGGTCATCCCAATATGATAAAACGGGACATTTAGAAGCATTTTTTATGTTGTTTACTTATAATATCTAAAGTCTAAACAATATCTAACATGACTAAAGGCTTGCAGTAAAATCTCCGCAATGACTCCCCCTATTAACAAAAATCTGAAAAGCATTTGGCTATTGAATAATTTGGATAATTTGAATCGACTCTCTAGCGTGCAAGATTACTGGCTTAGCCCGAACTCCGAAGTATATGGTGGCATTCATTTATTTTTATTGGGGGCACTTAGTGTGCAATACAATTTTTTTGGGCTAAAGGGTCAAATAGGCCCCTGTACCTGTTCAGAATGCTCAATTCGCACCCCGAACTCAAAAAAGCTCCAATTTACACCCTGAACTCGCCAAAAAAGTTCAAATCCCATTTTTTGCAGGTGAGTTTCCGGTCATTGCCACGTCAGCCGGTTAGATGCCAACTGTGCATCCCACGTGGAAATCTCAGGGGTCAAATAGACCCCTGAACCCGACAAAATTGTTCAATTTACCCCCCTCAACCGTTAAAAAGTGTCCAAATTGCCATTAAAAAATAAAAAATAAAAAATAGAAAAATATAAATAATATACAAGTTCATAATATAAAATATATGAGTCTATTTATAATATGACAATAAATTATTTATATTTTAGGGTAAGTTTAATATTTTAAATATTTATGAGTCTATTTATAATATGAAAAAATATTAAAAAAATTAATATGAATTTATAAAAAATGTATGGTTGATTTTTTTAAATGGATTTAAAATATCAAAATATTATAAAAATGTAGTAGTCCCTTGCTATTTAAAATATCAAAATTTATATATAGCAAGGGACTACTACATTTTTATAATATTTTGATATTTTAAATCCATTTAAAAAAATCAACCATAAATTTTTTATAAATTCATATTAATTTTTTTAATATTTGTTCATATTATAAATAGACTCATAAATATTTAAAATATTAAATTTACCCTAAAATATAAATAATTTATTTTCATATTATAAATAGACTCATATATTTTATATTATGAACTTGTATATTATTTATATTTTTCTATTTTTTATTTTTTATTTTTTAATGGCAATTTGGACACTTTTTAATGGTTGAGGGGGTATATTGAACAATTTTGTCGGGTTCAGGGGTCTATTTGACCCCTTAGATTTCCATGTGGGATGAACAGTTGGCATCTAACCGGCTGACGTGGCAATGACCGGAAACTCACCTGCAAAAAATGGGATTTGAACTTTTTTGGCGAGTTCAGGGGGTGAATTGGAGTTTTTTTGAGTTCGGGGTGCGAATTGAGCATTCCGAACAGGTACAGGGGCCTATTTGACCCTTTACTGAAAAATCTAAAAAAGTACTCCCTCCGTGTCCTGAAAAGGTTGGATATAAAGTAAGGAATATGAAGCCAAAATCAACCTTTTTGCGACGAAGGTAGTATTAGAGTTGGAGCATACCTGGAGGCTGGAGCAGCGGAGCTGGAGACAGAGCCCAAGCGGCCGGGCAGAACAGGGTTCGGAAGGCGGAGAGCAGAGAGCCGGAGTGGGCGGGTACGGCGGCGCAGCTGGCGTTCTGCGGTTCTCCTATTCCTGTTTGTCGCGTCTTCGTCGCAGGGTTCAGGCTCGTGAGTTCGTCTTCGTTCTTTCCAATCTTCCGCTTCTTCGTTCTTCGCACAAGAGCGTTCTGCACTTCAGCGTTAAGATGAGAGATAGGCGCAAGAGAAGTTCAATTTTGAATTGGGCTGGGAACAAATTTTGAGGCAGGCCGGGAATTAATTTTTGAGCGGGCTGATAATTAAACCTATACTTAATACTTAAAATAAAATGGGCTGGGCCTCACAGTCATCCACCCCTAGTCAAACACCACCGCACCATCCGTTTACTCACTTTTTGAAGTAAAAGATGAAAACATTACTAAGGGAGTGTTTACAATTGCTTCAACTTTAAAAAAGTGATTTTTTAAAGTGATTTTGGAAAAAGTGATTAATAGTAAACGTTGGTAGTGTTTGGGAAAAAAGTGATTCTAAAAAAGTAAAAGTTGGTAGTATTTGGTAAAATAAATGCTTTTTGTGTAATAGAAAAAGCGAAAAGCAGTTTAAAGCACTCTTCTATCTGCTTCCAGCTTTTAGCTTTTAGCTTTTGGAAATAAATACATATATCTAACTAAAATTTATGTTGTTTACAAAAACTAGTAATTCACCCGTGCGATGCACGATTTTAATTGCATTTCAAAATATATCACAGATAACAATAAAAAAGATGTAATTTGTTGACAACAAAATGTATGGTGTTGAAACATTGATACAACCTCAACAGTCAACACGAACATGATGTAAAAAATCAACACGAACACATACATGAATGATCTAAAAAATAAACGTAGGTCGGTGCACATAATATTTTAATTATAATTAGATATAGAGTACTATGCATCGGTGAAAAGGTGGGAAATAAAATAAACAAAGGTAATAACATCACATAAGCGTATATAAAGCCACGTTACACGTTGTTAAACACTTCTTTGAACACAACACTTCTTTCAGGATGTGCGCGTGGATCTTTGACCCCTATTATTTCCAAAAGAGTCGGCTATAGTGAAAGGGACACATTCTGTAAAAGAAAAAACTAATCAAATTTCTCAACCTGCTCATCGTGAAAGACAACTGTGGGAAGCCGTCATGGGCAGTTTCACGATACACTCTAGTGGCTCTGGCCTTTATGACCCATGCTATTTTACTTTGGTCAACGTTGATTTTTGTTGCTTGCTATTACAAAGTAAAATGAGGATGGATGTGAGAAAGTTGTTGCTGTAGGTGTTCTTTTATAGCTGAGTAAATCGGTAGTAATTCCCACGAATGGTATGCACCATACCATCCACTATTCACACCACCCTCATCTACTAATGGCACGCATGGAAGCAAAAAAATCCAATCAGAAATGTTGTCAACAGTACCCACCACACGATAGCCCAATAAGAGCCCTCTGTATTACGACTTTACTATGCACACCGCGGCCCTTGGCCAATAGGGATTCCCTTTCCTATTGCTCTTTTTAATTCCCGGCCAAACCCATAACACCACAACAAATCCGTTCAATTATTCTCTTGACAAATTCCTTTTGACCAATTAGAAGTTGAAGAAGCGACGTTGACATTTACGGGCGGTAGTATTGTATGTCGAAGTTCATTTCTTTTATATTAGAAGAGATGTGACCTCCTTTAAGAGTAGTGACTATAATAGTAACTTAGTCCTATTAACTTATGTTCAACCTTTTATACTTAAGTGATTATGAGACAAAATTATATTATATACTACATAGTAATTATTAGTCATACTTTTGTGTAGGGATGGACTCGGGCCGGGCCAACCGGCCCGGAACCGGACCGGCCCGCTACTGTGCGGGCCCGGACCGGCCCGGTCAACCGGTTCGGTTCCGGTTCGGGCCTCCAGGCCCGGTGGTATACCGGTCCGGGCCCGGGCCTCCAGTTTAGTGAACCGGCCCGGCCGGGCCGGGCCCGGTTCGGGCCGGAATTTAATTTTTTTTTTTTTTTTGAAATTTTTTTAAGTTTTGGGTTGGATTAGGTATTTTGGGCCATTTGAGGTGGTTTGGGGTGGTTTGGGGTGGAGGGGGAGGGGTAGGGGGTTAAATAAGAGAAGAAGAAGAAAAAAAAAAAAACATTCCGGGTGGCCCGGCCCGGCCCGGCCCGGTTCTGGCCCGGAACCGGAACCGGAACCGCCCACCACCGGTTCGGGCCCGGGCCTCCTTTTTCTGAACCGAGGCCCGGCCGGGCCCAGGCCCGAACCGGGCCCGAACCGGAACCGGTCCACCCCTACTTTTGTGAATAAGTTTCATTTAGTACGACTGTACGAGTAGTATTTTTGAAAAAACCACTATTATTTATAGGAAGAATTTTTTGTGATTCCTTTTTCTATCAGTAGAATGAAACACGTATTTCAAAATGAAAATTTCAATTCAAAGAAAAAATTACACGTTAACGGAAAAATTAAGGTCACATTTATGAGGAACAAATAACACGTATTCATCATCTCATGTTGGGTACGAGAGTACATTTTTCTGATGATATCCTATGGTTGCAAGATCATAAGGTAATGGATCACAAATTCACATTTTATTTAATCCTTCATAAGTAGAAACAAGCCAAATAATACGTAGTATGAGTCTGCCCTATAATTGTGACGGAGCAACTAGCAAGAGCTCAATGCAAGTAAAAACATGACTACAAATAATATATCTCATTTGAGCTCAAATCATTCAGAGCATTTTCTTGCAACCAAGATAGGCTAAAAGCAAATCATCCGTGATAAAAACCATCGTTGAACTGGATAAATATTTTTATGGAAACTTCAATTGAGGCTAGTAGGAAGTTCCTACGAGGAAGTCATGTGATATGGTACTGTAAGACAATTATAGTGTATTTGTGGACAAAATGACTTCACAGTATCATCATAGACTTAAACAGTATACGCAGGTTGAATCAGGATGATAGACATGTCATGAGTTCTAGTAAAAAATAAGTGCAACACTATCTTTCTTTATCTAGTTTAACTTTTAAATGCTTAACACACCAGTCTCTAGGACCGCTGGACGGGTACCAGTTCCAGCCTCCCCCTTCATGGATCGGGAATGGACCCATGTTCAGTTGAGCTAATCAGAAACGAATCAATTTTGGTGAAATCAGAACCGGACTGGAAAATAACATGGCTATCTTTACCAGTTTAGTTTTAGGACTGATTTAACCCGTTTGGTTTTCAGTTGGCAATCCGATCACCAGTTTGGTACTGTTTCGAAATTGGGAAAATGTGTCATGTAAAAGTAGCAAAAAGTGTGAAGCTTGAAAGACACAACTATAAAATAACAACAAAAACTCATGTTCCCTAATGTATGAGAGCACAAAGTTCACTGAATTCACCATTGTACTGGATGTTTGGATGTGTTATTTCTCTCATGCTACAAATCAATAACGTTTGTTATATATACCTCTGAATTAAGTTCAAGAGTTTTTTCTCCCCTAATGTTCTATCAACAAACCGTCCTCATTATCCGTAGATGTGCTTGTATACTTGAAAGTTGAAATTGGAGATCTCAACTGGTCAGTAATGAAGATTTGTCCTTGGACCCAAACATTTAATATAAGAACATATGTTTATAGCTGCAAGGAATTCAGAAGTATGAACAAATCTGAACTTTTAATTCCCTTTTGTGGTGGAGCTTACATCATTTTCCTTTGCAGCTTCTTCCTCCTGAAGCTTCTTCTTCCAGTACTCTTCCATTGGCGGACCAAATATAGCCTTTCCGGACACAACTCCAATCCTAAATATACAACACCCGGTAATAATAAGTTGAAGATTTAGCAATACATTACAAAGCCCAAAAAGTTCCCCATTCATCTCAATAAAAGCATATTGATCATAAAGGATTACTTGTTAATCATCCACAATCAATTCATTTAATAATTGTCCAATAAACTTAGTAGTGACCACTGCTACTTTCTTTAGTTTTACTTACATTTGAGTAAATGGTCAAAAAACAATGTCGTATGACATGTTAGGTGTTCGTTGTGCAAAAAAAGGTATGTTCAAGCAGGAAATACATCCAAGAAAATAAAACTTAAAAAGATAAAAAGAAGACAAATGGAGAAACAAATTGCTAAATGAAAGACCACAATGTATAGTGCTATTTCCAAAAGAAACATTACAATGTGAAGTAGACAATGCAGCAGGGATTGTGTAATCCCTCATATGACACCAAACTGAAGCCTTCACCCACCATATATTTCCTACTCAACATCACAGGCTTAGCAACTCCCTGTCGAGTCATGTCCATCACTTTGCTTAAGCTTCTCAATGGTATTGTTTAACTATGAGTAACAATTTTTAACATCAAGCATACTGTTTTAGGCTTTCAGCCCACTACAGTTTATTAAGAAGGAAATTATTTTAGACTACACAAGCCGAACAAGATGTCAGCTTAGTCTCGTCTACACAGGCAGAGCCACCTCCCACATTTTCCCACATTTTTAAATAAAACGATAATAATATCGTAAAAACTGCACAACAAACAGAACTCCTTTTTTATGTTGATAAAAAAAATGAACTCGACTTCTCCCCTTAAATATTGATCAACATTGTAAAGCTTATGGTCATTCTTCACATTTAGGATATGATATTTCTGATTTTTGAAGCGTTAGGTTTCAGCGGTAGCCTAGTTGATTCTTCCGGGCATCATTGACGTTTAAAAGCCTATTGAATGCTTAGTATTTCATTGGGTGCAAAACTGCAAATTTGAGCTTAGTCAACTCACTGTCCTCCGCCCGGGTCTACACTTTTCTTACACCTAGGTATGGTGCAATGCTGAAGCCCCTAGAGCAAGCATCTGAGACTTTAAATCTAAAATATCTGCTATCTTAACTGAATTAGGCATGTCAAAGTTGTCATATAAAAAAATCCACAGAGACATTTCTTCGAAGACATGGCACGTTTGAGACCTCCTATAACATCTATTTCCATTCGTTTTTCCTTTTCACGTTGTGGATTGCCACACTTTACTTACTTGCTCTCGTCATCTATGCAGTTAATGCAAAAAATAAAATAAAAAATATCAATATCAACAATGAACGGAAAAAGAAGCCTCTGAACACAGAAAATGGAAAAAGTTGCTCACACGATTGCGCCAATTACAAGTGGAAACGACAGAAACCTTCTCCTGCCAAACATTTCCTTTCCTGATTTCTTCCAAACTTTTGCAGTTAGCAGGGGCGTATCTAAAAACTTACAATAGGGTGGGCTAATAAAAACTTACATAATAATACGTCAAATCGTCAACACTTCAAATATTCATAAAAATATCATTTGAACTGTGCCCTACGTGACTTCAAAGTATAAAATTCATCAATAATAGAATCTACGTCTATATTATTGAAAAATCTCGTGCTTGGTTTAAAAAAGCGCGCCTGAGGCGCGCAAAGGCGCTAGGCGCTTTCAAGCGTTAGAGTCATCGCATTTAACATACCTAGGCGGCTCAGGTTCTTAGAGGCGAGCGCCTTTTCACGCTTTTGGGCGCTTATTCCGCTTCGATGAGGCGAGCGCTTTTGACGCCTCAAGGACTGTCCGATGAAATACCTTTGACGATTCCCATTCCCATTTTTGGGCGATTCAGCTACTCCTTCCAGAAATTTCGTGCCTGGTGTTATAAATTTACAAGGTAAGCTCCTCACTCCTCACAACATCAAACTCCAAGAATCTCTAGTCTTCTGATCTTCTCCTTCCTTTCTGCCTTTTCCGCGTGACAGAGTTCCCGACTTTTCTTTGGCCGCTATCTCGCGTTGCAGAGGTTAGCGTATCTATTTTTTTTTGTCTTTTGCTATTTCTTATCTTTTATTTTAAGTTGTTACATTTGATATTTATTGTAATCAAATCACTCTTAAAGTATAACTTCATACGGAGTATCAGTGAAACAATATTAATATCATAAAATCGAACTATAAATTCGCTCTCAACTACAGTCCAATATGAGATAGCCAAATATTTACAAATCTGTCTGTAATTATTTTATAGAAGTGTATTTGTGTGATAGTTTATTAATCAAATACTCCCTCCGTCCCAAAATGGTTGGCCAAATTTCCTTTTTTGGTCGTCCCAAAAAGGTTGGCCATTTCCATTTAAAGTAAGGAATATGTGACTAAAGTTAATTCTCTCTCCTCTGCACAAATTTCAACCACACAGTTTTTACTTTATTAATCCACGTGCAAGTCAACATTGGCCAACCATTTTGGGACGGAGGGAGTATGTATTATACCATAAAAAAAATCAAATATGTATTATTTTATAGTTTATCACAATATTATAAAATTATTTAAATTTACAAATCTGTTTGTAATACATTAATTATTTAAATTATTACTAACAGATATAACAATATATCACAAAATGACTATTAATTGTTTTAATAGTCAGATTGTATAATTCTTACGATTTTAATTATTCAAAATACATTAATTATTATTTATATGTAAGGATTATAATCAGACTGTGTAATTCTTACGATTTTACTTTAATATTATAAGACACCCTTCTATGACTATAATCAATTATATAAGGCTTACAATTTTACAATATAATCAAATTATATTAATTCTTACTGTAATTATTTATATGAAAGTACTTTTCTGATTATTTCTTTCAATAACATATACTCCGCGGGTTGTTAGGGATTCAATGGAGTCAAATTCAAATTCTTCCGCGGGTTGTTCCGAATCTAGAGACCTTGCTAGAAAATATGGGGCACCGGATCCTACCAATAGGAACAATTTCACTTGCAATTTCTGTTTGAAAGTAACTAAGGGAGGGGTTTTTCGTTTAAAACAACATCTTGTTGGGGGGTTTAAGAATGTTACCAAATGCCTTAAATGTCCCGAACATGTTCGGGAAGAAATTAAGACATTTATGTTGAAAAAACAAGCTTCCAAGGAAGAAAACGAGTTGCTCCCCAAAATGGCCCAATTTTATGAGTATGATGGTGATGAGGAAGAAGATTGTGTGGATCTCACAAATAAATTGCCATCTGCCAAAAGACCAAGACAAAAGGGTCCAATTGATGTTTATTTTAGACCTAACCCCGAAGATGTTCTTAAAGGAAAGAAAAGCGGGAAGCAACAAACCATCAATGAAGTTTGTAAAAAGGAATTAAGGGCTAAAGTTTGCGGAGACATATCTAGGTGGTTTTGTGATGCAGCTCTTCCATTTCATGTGGCCAATTATGACAGTTTTAAAATTATGATTGAATCAATTGGGCAATTTGGTCCTGGACTTAAAGCGCCTAGCATGTACGAGTTAAGAGTTCCATTACTTAGAAAGCAAGTGGAGGATACCCAAACAATGCTGGATGAGCACAAGAAAGAATGGGCACTAAAAGGTTGCTCGTTGTTATCTGATGGGTGGCGTGATAATGTTGCCCAAAAGGAGATCATTAATTTTTTAATTAATTCTCCAAAGGGTTCAGTGTTCATCAAGTCCATGGATGTTTCAGAAGTCTCAAAAGATGCAAACCTTATGTTTAATATTCTTGACGAAATGATTGAAGAAATTGGTGAACAAAACGTAGTGCAAGTTGTAACTGAACAAAACGTAGTGCAAGTTTATTAAGATTCTTTAATAGTTTGATTTTTGAGAAGAGTGCTTCATGTAGAAGTACTAAAAATATATTTTATCAAAAAAATGTGGCTGCGATCCGTGAGGCGCGCGCCTCATCGCCTAGCGCCTAGCGCCTCGGGTAAATCAATGAAATCGCCTCGAGCCGCCTCGTGCCTTTTAAAACCAAGATCTCGTGTAATGTAATTCATGAATGAATCTTCAAGAAAATTATCTCCCATATTGTTGTGAAGTGCCGTCTTCACCATCATAGGTATAGGTTCACGACTCTCTTCATCACTTTGACAATACACTTTCGAAAAAAATGACAAAATGAACTTCTTTTCTTTCTTGACAATATTTTCATTATCCATTCTAAAAAACATTTTCAATATTGGTATGAATTAAAATACTTCTATAAAATTATGAAACTAATAGAAAAACAATTTTTGTACATAAACGTAATAAGTGTTCCGAATTTCAAAACTCAATTCGAATTTTCAACTTTTTCTTACATAACCACACAATAAAATGATAAATACGTAGTAAATCATTCTTTAATCTTCAATAGTATAATATATAAATCATTCTATAATCTTTCATTCTATCTTTAATCATTATAAATTCATAATGAATTAAAAACTATTTCATTATGCACTGAAAAATTCAATTAATAATCAAATTGATTCCCTAAAGATAATAATACACAATAACACAAAGTAAAAAAAAATAGCTTAAAAATCTAAAAAAGTATTAGAGTTAGAGCATACCTGGAGGCTGGAGTAGCGGAGCTGGAGACAGATCCCAAGCGGCCGGGCAGAACCGGGTTCGGAAGGCGGAGAGCGGAGAGCCGGAGTGGGCGGGGACGGGGGCGCAGCTGGAGGTCTGCGGTTCTCCTATTCCTGTTTGTCGCGTCTTCGTCGCAGGGTTCAGGCTCGTCGTCTTCGTTCTTCCCAATCTTCCGCTTATTCGTTCTTCGCACAAGAACGTTCCGCACTTCAGCCGTTCAGCGCTCGGACAAGGTGCAACTGCGCAAGAGAAGTTCAATTTTGGATTGGGCTGGAGACAAATTTTGAGGCAGGCCGAGAATTAATTTTGGAACGGGCTGATAATTAAACTTATACTTATACTACTTGAAATAAAATGGGCTGTGCTGAAGCCCACCGCCTGCCCTCACAGTCATCCGCCCTTGGCAATTAGGGATGCCCGCTGGTGTAGGCACGATAGGAAGCGTTAAATTTAGGATGTTCTTTTTTGTTTTTTCTCGCGAGGAGTAGCCTCTGAATGTGTTTAGTTGATTGTAATTTGTCCCGAACTAGAGAGACAAGACTAGAATAGATCAGATCATATCAGACTTGGATAGTTATAAAAATACAAAGAAACTAGGCCGGACCAGATTCAAACCAGATCAGACCAGACCAGCAAATTACAGTCCAAGTAAAAACATCTGAAGTATTCCAGACCTGGGCTCGCTAAGTTAATAATGGACCCAGACCTGATCCGTTTACCCGGCGGGTCTGAAATTTTGGGCTCAGATCGGACCCATCAGGTCTCGGAACTGGGTCGAGTAGACCATAGTATGACACCGTTATAAATTTTGTGAAAATAGCCAGACTTGTATGTGAAATGTAAAGAAAAGTGTCAAACAAAAAAGCAAAACATATCTTCACTTCAAAAAAATCAAAGTTTCTCCTTTTAATACTTTTATCCAATAAAGTATCGGTTCTTGGATATAATTCCAAAATCTATATCGCTTTTTCTCGTACATAGAGCTCGTAGAATAAACTTCAAATTAAGTCACAAAAAAGTGTCATAATGATATATTGATGATGATGATGATGATGATGATGATGATGATGATGATGATAAGAACAACAACATCAACTACTACTACTACAACAATAATGAATATTGTGAGTTGCTTACCGAGCACAATAGACACTTATCACTATGAATAAACGGCCAAAATGAGTATTAATTTTAAACTATCCACTATCTCAATCGGTATCACTTATATAATATGGATGTACTAGTGTGTATATTTTTAATTGAAGAATTACAATTAATAATTTTATGTATTACTGCCTCCGTCCCCCTAAGTTTGGGACAAAGGGGTGTGGTTTTTAAGAAAAAATAGAATTGTGTAGTTGGTATTGAATTGATAAAGTGTAAATAAAGTAAAAATGAATTCTAGCCACTCAAATATTACCCCAGCATCAACTGTGCAGTGGTTGGGGGCTGGGAGGGGTGGCGGATTGGGGAGGGGCTGATGAGGTCACTGTTTGGGCAGGGGCAATTGACAGTGGCAATTTTGCTGGCAGCGGTTGCGGGATGTTCGGGTAAGAGTGCGGTTGTGGGGTTGGAGCAGCCGTTGAGGACTGGTAGGGAAGAAGTTACGAGAATCGTGGGTTGGGGTGGCAGCTGGACGATTGTGGTATCATCGACAAAGATTTTAGTGAATGTGAATGGCCACATGACGTGTTTCACGACAATAGCAACATGTTTCATGATAATAATCCGCAAGTGACACAAAAATATATTAGTGACATTTGACAGTGACATGGAAAAATTATAGTGACATGAAAATTTTTGCGATGACATCATGTTAGTCATATATTTTTCAATATGAAAAAGTAGTTACATTTTTGGGAAACCCGCTTCTAATTAAGTAATATTTAAGGATAAACCCGAGTAAACTCTCTCCAATCAGATTGGGACATAAAATGTGTAGCTCCAAGATTTGTTATAGTAATACTTTTGATAGGTTTCCGAACCGACGTCATAGTGTCTCGGAATATAGAGAAATGCATCAATGATAGATTTTTTCCGATTGTCCCTAAATTCACTGATTCCACTCATAACACTTCATCTTCTTCCTCAATCTTCATTCTTTCATCATCTGCAATCAAAACGTCTATCTCCTCCTATCGGTTTTCTTCCATCACTACTCTCTTTCGCACGGTTGTTGTCGACAGAAAATCCCTTCGGACGAAGCCCCGTATCGTTGCTACGTCGCTCGAAGTGCTGCACACCAAAGACTGCGGACAAACGCCGCCACGAAACCTTAGGCAATATGCCTACCCGTCCATCGTTTAAACAGGATTATATGTAATTATTTTAAAAATTATTCTTCACAAATTTTAGAGAAAAGGCAGAGTCGTGCCTTCCTTAAGGCGGGTGAGGCATGTACCTCAGGGCCCCAAAAAATTTAAAAAATTAGGGGCCAAAAAATGTAAATATCTTTATGTTATATACGTAGTATATAACTTGTTGTCTGGCTTAAATCGTCCGCTAATGCACAAAACTAACGAAACAATAGCGTAATCGACCAAATAGTGAAGTATAAAGACCAAACTCGAACTTGCTAATATGTTACCTAGTATTACTTTCAGAATTTTTTTTTTTTTATATTGATTTGCTTATATGATGAATTAGAGAAAAGGCAAAGTCATGCCTTCCTTAAAGCGGGTGAGACATGTCCCTCAGGGGCCCCAAAAATTTAAAAAATTAGGGGCCGAAAAGTTAAATATCTTTATGTTATATATGTAGTGTATGACTTGTTGAAGAATAAAGATCAAACTCACGAACTTGCTAAAATGTTACCAAGTAATATTTTCAGAATTTTTTCTTGCTTCTATATTGATTTGCTAATATGATGAATTAGAGAAAAGGCAGAATCGTGCCTTCCTTAAGGCGGGTGAGGTATGTACCTCAGGGCCCAAAAAATTAAAAAATTAGCGGTCGAAAATTTAAATATCTTTATGTTATATACGTAGTATATGACTTGTAGTCGGGCTTAAATCGTCCGCTACATCACAAAACTAACGGAACAATAGCATAATCGACCAAATAGTGAAGTATAAAGATCAAACTCTCAAACTTGCTAATATGTTACGAAGTATTATTTTCAGAATTTTTTCTTGCTTTTATATTGATTTGCTAATATGGTGAATTATTGATTTGTGAATTACTGAATGAACTAACTTATCAATTTCTATTTTCTAATTTAAAAAATATTGACTAATTTTTATATTATTGGTTGGGATTTGAAGTGTTTGCATAAACACATGCTATCTAAAAATTAAAAGCAAGTTGATTCTTGCTTGTCTCTTGTCTTACGAAGGCAGGATCGTGCCTTGGTGGAAGTTTTATATTTGAGAATTGAGATCTACCTTTATATAATGTTATAAAGATTGGAATTGTGGAATTATCGGTTCGCAATTAATCAAAGTTTATGATTTATACTCTTATACTCATGCAAAAAAACAGAAATTGTAATTTTTTCACTTTATTATATTCAAATCTCAATCACAACTTTTAGTTTTTCAACAACTTTATTAATAATTATGTCAAATTAAAGTGGGACACATAAAATGGAACAAAACTAATAGTCTAGTACCACGTATAAGGGTCATTTTATAATTTCGACTCAGCCCAGCAAATTTTAGGTAGGACCGGCACGGAGAAAAGATAAATAAAAATGTTTTATTCATTCCACCATTCCTCACTTCTCCATCCATTTTAGGGAGGATAAAAGAATAGGGAGCCACACAATTTTTCTACTTTCGAAGTTTAGTCACCTGTTTTAAATTACTTTCAATCAAGGTATTTCGTTACCCTCCCCTCACATTCCTTTTAAGTTTAAGTTATTACCCCAAATAGGAGTAAAATAATAACAAAATTCCAAAATAGGAGTTCTCAATGATTAATTCCCTAAATAGGACTTATTAATTTATTGATCCACTTATACCCTTTTATTTTCCAATTCTTTCGTGTGGCACAACCATTAATCTCTCTCCATTCTATTTCTCTTCCACTCCCTTTTCTCACGCACCCCTATCTTATCTCTCTTATCTTCTCTCCCACCACACCCTTCTCTCTTCAAGCAGAACGACGAAGCTTCATAGGCGGATCAAAATATGGACCATGGGGCGCACATCCTAAGCGGAACAACGGCGGCCACACACGGGGCTGTACGGCGGTGGAGCAGCAGGGTGATTCTACGGCAGGACACTTGGGGTGAGTTTTCTTCCCCTGTTTTTTCTTCTTCTTTTCCGGCCATCTTCTTCATCTCTGGCCATTTTCTTCCTCCTCCTCACCCCTGGCTTCCGTTTTCTTCTTCTCTTGATTTATTTGTTTACTCTCCATAAATATGTTTTTTGACCTAGATTCAAACCGAAAATTACTATTTCAGATCTGAAAGTTTTGTCTTGAAAAATTCAAGACCCAACGATTTTGACCATAAAATTCGAAATCATTTTTGTTGCTATTTTTCTATGCCTACAAATTAATTTTAAAAAATAACATTAGTTTTTTCTAAGCATTTTCAATATGAAAATAAAGCTGGAACAAATGGAGAACTCATTTTTGCTATATTTTGTTGATTTTATTTGTTTATATTTGAAATTCAAAACAACATTGCTATTATAGACCTGAAACTTTCGAGTTCAAAAGTGAGAGGCTCCAGTTATTTGAAAAAGTGATTTTAAATAAAAGTTTTGAATTCAAAACTTTCGAATTCAAAAGTGATTTACAAAAATTATACTCCGTATCTGATTTTTATTTATTAATTTCAATTTCATTATTTTAAAATTTTCAATTTAATGAATTTGGATCTCAAAAATCTACAACTAATATTAATTTTTGAAACATTATTAAGATGCAAAATTATTTTGAAAATGACATGTTTAGCAAATAATGTCATTTTGCATTTATGAAGTTGACATTAAATTCATAAAGATGGCAATATGACTTCAATATGTTAGGCAAATAATGTCATATTTTATAGCTATTAATGCCATGTTTTTTTTTTTTACAAAATGGCATTATAATTTTAACATGACATTAATGTCATATTTTATAACTATTAATGCCATGTGTTTTTTACAAAATGAAATTATAATTTTAACATGGCATTAATGTCATATTTTATAACTATTAATGCCATGTATTTTTTACAAAATGACATTATGATTTAAACTTGACATTAAATAATTTTTCAC